TGAGATCTGAAGAGCGGGTCTTTTGTAAACCTAATGGCTTTATGTTGTGGTTCTATGCCATCGAGTCAGTTCTGAACAAAGGGGAACCTAATGCTGTTTTCAGGCTATGTGAGAGGTTTAAGGAATGGGCAACCTTTGCTGCCATGCCCTGAGTTTTCACGGCCAAGCAAGGACTCCTAATTTAGAAAGGTTCTGCAGGTCCGTGGATCGGATAATTGAGCTGGCAGTGGCCAGGGCTATTAGGAAAGGCATCTTTTAAAATAAGGCACTTTGAAATTGTATACGTGGGTTCAGATTTTATCTGCTCGTATGTCGCCACTGTGGGACGGTTAACGAAGACATACGCCTAGGATGCGCCGAGAGCAAAATGATCAGTGGGGCTGGGTCTGGCAGGGTGCCAACCGAGGGGTAGCCCAGAAAGGCCAGCGGAAGGGCGGGAGACGGGGCAGGCCTCCGGGAGGGGCATGGAGGGGCGCGAGGGAGAGATCTTACCACACAGGAGCACTGCTGACACGGGTCCAGAGGAGAAAGCCATTGCGACCCTTCGGGGTACTCCTGCCCGGCGTGCCGGCACGCTGTTGGGGAGGGGGAGAGCCGGATCAGGGCTTTCCCCAGCCCCCCCCACAGCCCCTTCACACACACACCCCGAAGTGCACCTGCAAGTCCACAGACCCTGCCTGGGCCAGCGGTCAGGACGGGCATCTTCCTTTACTGGTGCAGAAAGCAAAGTTTTCCTGCTAAAATGGTCCCCATGCCCAGAGATAGATAGATAGATAGATAGATAGATAGATAGATAGACAGACAGATAGATAGATAGATAGATAGATAGATAGATAGATAGATAGATAGATAGATAGACAGACAGACAGACAGATAGATAGATAGATAGATAGATAGATAGATAGATGGATAGATAGATAGATAGATAGATAGATAGATAGAAAGGTAATGCAACCCAATGCAATGGCAAACGCAAAGGGTTGCTTTTTAAACCCTGCAATGAGCCACGGCTGTGGATTTCTTCTACAAGCTACCCTAACAAGCAACAACCCCAGTTTCAAAGTCGCTTTCCGAGTTCTGTGCCGTCTGCCCCATAAGGAGGCCTAGAGAGAGAAGCCATGCGGCTAAGCGGAC